GCTGGGAAGTCAATAAAATGAAGGTACGCATAAAAGTAGGTTAATAAAAGTTTCAATGAGAGATGACACTGTATAGAAAAATTAAAAACAATGCATTGTGACTTTACAGTATATGTAATTTAAACATATGGTGACAGTGGCACAATAGATAACAGGGAGAAGTTAAAGGTATACTTTTCTGAAGTTCTTATAGCTCATGTAACACATTATAATGTCATTTTAAGGTAAAGCAACAAGTAAAGATATTTGGTAAATACTAGGGTAAATATCCAAATAAAATAAAGTTATTGGCAAAAAGCTAAAAATTGAGGTAAGTAAATTACTATTAAAAATAGTCAATTTGTCTTAAAAAAATCAAATAAACCAAAGATTAGTGAGAAGAAAAGATAGCTAACAGGATTATGATTTTAGTCCAAGAATATCAATTATTAGACTACACATAAATGATTTAGATGTACTAAATAAAAGACAGGAAATTTTATAAAATTCTTATAAAGTTAAGAAGAATACTCTGGTTTCTTTTCAGGTCATATAAATCTTTTGCCTTTTTTAAAATTAACAAGAAAAATTCAGTTACTACTATTGATCAAAAACTCTCTAAATATAAAGATGTACAAAGGTTAAAAACACAGGTAAGGAAAAGGATTTATCAGACAAATATTAGCCAAAAAATGTTAGAGTAACTACATTAATATCAGACAACGTAGACTCCAGAACAAATAAGGGTTCAGATCTGTGCATTTCAGAATGATGGAATGATGATAAAAGAGTCATTTTTTCAAGAAGAGCTAACAACTGCAGTTATGTATATACCTAATAACAGAGCTTCAAAATTCATGAGGAAAAACTTCCTAACTTGAAAGAAGAACTGGAATACCAAGAGCTGAACAGCACTATAAATTAATAAACATGAACCACTATTCAACAAATAGCAGATACATTCTTTTCAAGTTTATATAGACCACTGATTAAGAACAAATTTCAAAAAACTAAATGTTGAAGTCATACAAAATATCTTTCAACTCACAAAACTTAATAGTGGAAATTATTATAGCACATTTGTAAATAACGTGAGTCAAAGAAAGGCCCAAAAGAAAAATTAGAAACTATTTTGAACTTACTAAAAAATAGAGACATACATATTCACTTGGATGCAAATAAGGGTGTGTAAGAAATTCATTGCTCTAAAGAAGAAAAATTGAATTCATTTGTAGAGAGAAGAAAGGAATAAAAGCAGAAATCAATAAAATTCAGAGAAGGAAACCATACATAGGATCAATGAAACAGAAAGGAATTTCTTTGAGAAGAGCAATAAACTAGCTAAACTCTTACCAAGACTGGTTATGACAAAAAAGACACACAATGTTAATATAAATGAGAGACAGAACATTACTTACAAATTCCATATTCAAAGGATAATAAAGAGTATTATCAAGAAATTTGTGTCAATTTAAATAGACAGCTTTCTTTAAAGATAAACCTACCACAGCTTGCTTACAATAATAATCTGAAGAGTCCAAAAATTTATTAAAGAATTAAATTTTCAGCCAAAACAGTTCACAAAGTAAACTCCAGTTGCACATGCTTTTGCTAGCAAATTATATCAAGCACTTTGGAAGGAATCAGGACCATTCTACTTCAGTATTGCAGAAAATGAAAGAGTTGGGAGCATACTGCAATTCATTTTATGTGGCCAAATTCATTGTGATTGAAAAGGAAAACAAAAAAGTAAAACAAAAACATTAACCATTACAAGACAACTATAGACTAGTATCCCTAGTGGATATGCACACAATGATCTTGAGGGTGCACTAGCATTTTGAGTCAAATATAACACAATATGACTAAGTTGGGTTTATCCTGGAATGCAAGGTGAGCTCAGCATTTGCAATGAATCAATATTATTTACAACATCAACAGATGGATGAAGAAGAATGATCATAATCTTCTCCATAGGTTGGAGGGAGAAGGGGAGGGGGAATAGTGAGGAAGGGGGACATCTGGCAGCTGTGGATTACAGAACCCACCGTTCATCCCCGAACACACCTGAACAATGCCAACGGAGTGGTACGGAGAGCACATCGAAGACAGGAAAGCAAGGCCCACCATTGCTCCAGAAAAGTCTGTTGTGCTACAAGAGAGGAAGGAATTGGTGTAAAATCCATGACTGTAAACTAGATTCTCTAAAGACAGTTCATCCAGAATGTTAAATGGTTAGCAGAGACATTCACATTGTAAACCATTTAAAGTTTCCCTTTAGTTTATAAAATTATATGAGGCATTTTTTTCTATTGTGTCTTTCATATCACTGGAAATCCAAGCACTTGGATGTAACCACATTTACTATGTTGCATCTGATTTACGAGCTTATATTTTCATTTCAAAAGGTATTCCTTGTCAAGATACAGTAAGATTTTTGGTACTAACAAATCCTTCTCTCTACATAATCTCTCTCTGTATATATGATGTTTTGTATTTGTATTGCCACATGTCTTGAAGAACTATAACATTTGGACACTCTTTAAAATTTAAAAAGGTTTGTTTTGCTTACATCTACATTTGTGTGGTTTTCATTCTCACTACTACTCCGTTTTTAAGAGTAACATCTTTCCTCGTTCTGTAGTTACATGTTTGGTTTCTCTTCTTAGTAAGTACAGCATATTTGGAATCTATTCTTCTTAACAATTGGTATCTTTTGTTAATTTGCCTCATAAATTTTAAGAGTTTCAGTTTATAAGTGGAGTGAAAAGTATTTCCTTTTTCATATCTTTAGTGTTTTATCTTGTTTATTTTTGTTATTGTCAAATGATCAGAGTTACTTAATAGAATAAATAAAACTTGTATCAAACGTAAGCATATATTCAACATATGATCCTTGCGAAGGCCTGTCAAAATTTTAATTTCTTGTGTGTAAACCCCAAATCTTGTAGGTCAAACACCACATGGAGTGCAAAGAGAAAACTCCATACATACGAGATTAACTGAGCAATATCATGGTGCTTTCTTCTGAGGAGATTACTCCCTCTCCATTTAGAAAAGTTTTCCAGAGTAGAGGATGCATTTGGGGTTATCTTTATCTTATCCTCATCTGTCCAGATTTCCATCCCAACTAAGGCCACATGAGCATTGAGCTTTTTGTAAAGCTGTTCAAAAAGAATACAAGGTAGAGCAATAACTTAAGTGGTGATGTTATCTTTTAATATTTCAATACACTTTATTTTTAAACATTTACAACACACTTTTGTAATGTATTTGTGACACAAAATTTATCATCTTTTGACAAAAACTAAAATCCCCATTTAGGAAAGACAGATCCCCTTAGCTATTTTAGGTCTGTAAACTCCTTTTTGTGGGGCAAAGACCATATGGAGACAAAATTTTCTTGCTTCTTGACCTCAAGATGTACTATAATTTCATGTCAAGAGCTCATTGTTGTGGCCTTGATTTAAGTACATTTACTCATATACTTGTCACTATTATTAGTGTCATATTTAACATACATAACTTAGATATTTAATTTGATATATAAACATCACATGGTTTTTCTTATATGAGAGACAAAATATAAATAATTTAAAGAGCAAAATGAAATAGAGATGTTAAGAAACAGGGACATAGACTCTGTAAGAATAGAAAGGAGATCTGAGGAGGGAAGAAAGGAAAGGGAGAGCATTAGATGGGGGGTAAAAATGATCAAGATGAGATATGCATATATATCAGTCTCCCAAGATGAGTGAAACCTCTGTATCACAAACACGTAGTAGTGAAGATTCAGCAAAGTTGTCCTGGTGCAGGTTTAAGTATTAGGGAAGTGAGGATACATGAAAATCTCCTATATTCATGAATTACGAGTACAATATAAGCTAAGTGGTTGCCATAGGACGAATGTGTTGCTGCCCAAATTCATACGTGAAATTTGAACCTTTAAAGTAATGATTTTAGGACCTGGGCATTTATGAGCTGATTAGGTCTCCTCAGGAATGGGATTAGTGTTTTTAAAAAGAGATCAAAAACAAAACCAAAGAAAATTTATAACTCCCTGGAAACTTAATGACACACTCTAGAACAGTCAATGAATGGGTTGCAGAAGAAATCATGGAAGAAATTAAGTAATTCCTGCGATCAAAACTAAAATCTGAAAAGTACAATAGATATTATGAAAGAGAAAGAAACTTCTCAAAACAAACAATAACTAGGATGGGGGAAAGAAGAAAAGAAAGAAAAAAGGAAGGGAAAAATATATATACACACGCACACAAGATAGCTAAGATAATTGTACTACTAATTTCTATTGGTTTATTGAAAGGAACAGTCAATGCCTAATTGGTTGATCAATTTCGCATGCCTATGTCTGATAATCTGAACAGTTACTTTGAAGATGACAATATTAACAACCACTGTTAATTTCCTATCATCTTGTTTTGAAATTCTGTATCATTTTTATTGTTTTTTTAAATTTTCTTTAAAATAAAACAGAAACAGTGTGAAAATAGAAATAAAGATTTGTTTAGGGTTCTCAAGGAGATGTTAGTCTCTTACAGAGACCCTGGCAGAATACACTGCTCTTTATTCCTAAATAAATAAATAAAAAGTCAATGCCGTTACAACACAGCAGAACCTATGGGACACAGGGAAAGCCTAAGAGAGAAGATCATTGTAGTCATGTTAGAAAAACAGAGCAAGCTCAAGTAAACAGTCTAATGATGAACCTCAAAATACTGGAAAAATAACAGACCGAACTCTGACCAATAACAAATGCTGGTGAGTCTCTCGGAACCCTCCTACATGGTTGGTGAAAATGTAAACTGGTCTGATTTTTGTTACAGGTAACCTCTCATGCAGTGTTCTCCCTGGCTCTCCCCTACCTCATCCCCTTCTTATTCTCTTTAGCAGTTTCCCCTTTGTTAACACTCCCCACACCAGGCTTCAGACCTTTTATCTACATTTTATCCAGTCTCTTAGTGATCTAATGTGTTGCTCAGATTTTTTTTACATTTTAAAGGTTCCTGTAGACAATATTGTACATTCTGCTGTTCAGGTGATCTCCATTTCAATTACTCTGCCATTATAGTGAAGACTTTGTATCTGTACAAAGTATTTTTCAAATGTACAAAGTATTTCTCCAAAGTACAAAGTATTTTTAAAATAACATGGGGGTTTTTCAATAGAATGTAATTTTTTAAAAAATTGATAGACCTCAGCTGACCCACAGGTTACATTATGCTAAGTCATGTCTTATACTATCTCTTGTGCTTAAGATGTAAATTTATATCTCCACCCGGACCTTGCCTCTGAATGTCAGCATGTACACCCAACCTGTCAGCATCTCCAGTTAGAGACAGGAAAGATATTTCAAATGCCAGGTCTACAAACAGAATCTGTCTCTCCCCAGCTCCCCATCACGCTTTCCCTACCATTTCTTCCCTGTGTTAAATTTGCTGAGGTTGATATCATGTGTATCTTCTTCTTACGCCTCCTCCCACCCCCACTCACCCTGCAAACCTTGTTGACTCTGCCTATTGCTCAGTTCTTCGCTTTGAATCCCCCATCACTGCTTTTCCCAAGACACCATCGTCTCTTGCCTCAAACTGAGGCATGAATGACCTACTGGCCTTCTCACTTCTGCCTTTGATTCTTTGTAGTTTATTTTCAACATAAAGAATGGGGTTAGGGTTAGGCAAAGCATCACCAAAGGACTACCAGGGTGTTCAGGTTCTTGTCACTCCTACCTGTCTCGTCTCATTTCCTCTCATCCTTGCCCTGGACGATTACATTTCCTTCCCAGAATCACAAACATGCATAAAAAAACCCAGTAGAATTCCATTTAATAAAATATAGCATACCATGTTAATGTAATTGGCCATCTCAAACACCCTCTTTCTTATTTCATCCAGATCTTCATTGTACTTTTTAAACTAAAAAATAAGACAGAAATAGGCATTAACAGAAATCAATATAATTAGAAAGTAAGAAGAGGAGTTGATATATTACTCATCAGTGCTCATAATTAAGAATCAATTATTAAAAGCTAGAGCCAAATTGACTCATTTCTCAGCTAAGTTAAGGCACTTTGGGAATGTAGATTTTATTTTCTCTCTTAAGATATAAGACCAGTATAAAACTCAAACATATTTTCAGCTGAATTTCATGGTTTCCTAACCTGTACAAAATCAGTACAGAAAACAGCTTACTCATTAAAAATATATCAAAAAATATATGTATATGAGCAGTGAATAAATTCTGTACAATAAGAGAGGTCATAGTTTTAGGACCTGAACTAATTTATTTACCCACATTTTTATGTGTCGGATTTTCTGTTTTCGGTATGAAACAGAAGGACTTCTTGTTTAGAAAACACAATGTATGCAAATACAATGTTATAAAACAACATAAGCAGTAACTATCACCAAGGATTTACTTTTTTCCAGAGATTCCATTCACTAGACTTTTATATTTGCTACTCTCTGATGACCATAAATTCTAACTTACAAATTTTTAACCACTTTAAGGAAAACAACCTGATGAAAGAGTTTAATTGAAAATTAAGTTTGAAAAACTAATGACAAGGAAAGAACATTACAGGGTCAAAAATCAAAATTATGTGGATCATATAGTTTGTCTATTTCTGAAAAATAGTAAATATCAAATTTTATGGGCTCAAAATAATTTGTAAGTATAGGGCATATTCATGAATTTTAAAAATTGA